GTGAGGAGCAGGCGCAGGCAACGGGGAGCCAGGCAGTAGCTGTGGCTGAGAATGGTCTGTCGGCGAACACAGGAGGGGTATAGGGAGGCTAGTGGAAGACGGGATACTAAGAACCTGGCGAAGGACCAAGTCAGGCGGCGGCAGGGACGACTGCGGCTGCAGGTAGAAAAATGGTCTGCTCAGGGCAGTACCAGCAGCTCCAGCTCCTCCAGCACCAGCAGCACCAGCACCTCCAGCACCTCCAGCACCAGCAGCACCACTAGCTCCGGCAGCAGCAGGACCTCTAGCACCAGTAGTACCTCCAGCACCTCCAAAGCCAAGAGCTCCAGTAGCACCTCCAGCACCTCTAGCACCAGCAGCACCACCTGCTCCAGTAGCTCCAGTACCTCTAGTACGAGCACCTCTAGGTGCAGCAGCTCCAGCACCTCCAGTACCTCCAGTACCTCCAGCTCCAGCGCCTCCAGCACCAGCAGTACCTCCAGCACCTCCAGCACGAACAGCACCACCAGCTCCGACAGCTCCAGCACCTCCAGTACGAGCACCTTTAGGACCAGGAGCTCCAGCACCTCTAGTACCTCCAGCACCATTGCCTCTAGCACCAGCAGCATCTCCAGCACCTCCAGCACCAGCTGTACCTCCAGGACTAGTAGCTCCGGCACCTCCAGCACCAGCAGCACCTCTAGTACCTCCAGCAGGCGCAGTACCTCCAAGACTAGCAGCTCCAGCACCAGCAGGACCATACCCTCCACCACCAGGACTGCCTTGCCGAACGATCCACGCACGAATCGTCTGTGGCGAGAGCGTCTCAAGTAGGTCAGGCTGCGGTGGGTGTCCAGCTCCAGGACCTCCAGTAGGGTCACCCACAGCTCCACCGCCACTAGGACGTGGAGGACCCCCAGAGTCAGCACCCCCAGTCCCAGCACCCCAAGAACCAACACCCCCAATCGCAGTACCCCCAGTCGCAGAACCCCCAGTCGCAGCACCCCCAGTCGCAGCACCCCCAGAACCCTCACCCTCTGTCTCAGCACCCCCAGGCTCAGCACCAGCAGTCTCAGCTCCAGAGTCCACAGAAGCAGGCTGCGGAGGCGGCGAAGACGGCCGAGGCGGAAAACCAGGGGGGGTCTCCAAGCGTGGAGAGCAGCGAGTGGCCGCCGTGTCATCAGCGGCAGGTTCACCCCCCTCAGCTGGGCTACAGGAGTCAGAAGTGATCTCCAAAGGCTCAACCAAGGGGGTGGGTCTACCTGGGACACGCCTGAGGGAGCAGGACCATGTGGGGGGAGGGGGTCTACGGAGGGGGGGGGACTGGTACCAAGAAAGGAGGCGCTAGGGGGACCGGGTTGGACACGTGCGGGTGTAGCCTGTAGTAATAGACAGACTCGTCAAAGGTGACATCCGGGGAGGAGAAGACACGACGCGAGCTCGGGTGGTAAAACTGCCACGGCGGGGTGTCGGTGGGTAAGCCAAGGAAGACGCAGCGGAGAGTGCGAGAGGGGAGCTTGCTCGCTTTGGCATCGCGAACAAGGGAGAGCGCGCCCAAGACCCGAAACACTGACGCATCGCCAACCTTCCCCGTCCACCGGAGTGTGGCGAGGTCTCTTGCTCAGAGACCCAGGGCCAGAGGTTGAGCTGATGCCCAGCATATCGGACGACCGCAAACGGCCACAGAAAATGGGGAGTAGCGGCATGGATCATGGAGGTACGAGCAACCTCCATGATCAAGCCAATGCGACGCTCAGCAATCCCATTTTGCTGAGGAGAGGCCGGAAGCATGAACGTCTGGACGATGCCCTCGTCTCGACAGAACTCCGCAAGGAGGTTAGAAGAGAACTCACCGCCCCTGTCAGAGTGCAGACGCAGGACTGGGAAGTCCCGACTGAACCGCTCGCGCAGTTGGCGACGAGTAGCACGGATCCAAGGGATCAAAACACCGCTGACGTCCGCCTTGCGCCGCAAGGGAAAGACAGTGGTGTAACGTGTGTAGTCATCAACAGCCAGCAAGAAGTAGCGCTCCTGGTCCTTTCCACCGACGGGGGCTGGCCCAAACGTCCATGTGGAGAGTCTGTAGAGGAGCAGTGGTCGGAGGAAACTCAGAGGAGTGAGGAGCGGCGCGCTGCCGCCCCTCGACGCAGGGAAGGCACGGCGGGGCAAGCGAGCGCGGGAGGGGGGGCAGGGACCTGGGAAGGCCAGAGACAAGGAGACGGGAGTGCATACTGCGGAGACACGGTAGGGAGGGGTGACCGAGGCGGTGGTGCCAGAGGAGAGTCTGGTGGGAGAGTACCCGACACGAGCAGACGCTGCAAGCTGACCAGACGCAAACACCTGACTCGACGCAGCCACCTGACCTGCCTCAGCCACTTGTGCACCCGCAGTGGTCAGTGTGTACAGACTAGACCCAGGCCGTCGAGTGAACGTAGCCAAGTGACGGCGAGTCCGGGAGCACGTACAGATCGACACACGCTGCCCTCCAGGAATAAAGGTATCAACCCAGACATCCTGAATGGTAGCGTTGCTCACCAATTTCGTCGAGAACGTGGGGAGGTGGAGACCTGACAAAGAACCGGAGGGGACTGCTGGACACGGGAGGACAGTGGAGGCTCGTGCGACTACTGGGGCCCCAGTGGGGTCAGCCAGTGAGACCAGTACCGGTGCAGCAAGTGGTGTGAGTGAGGTGCAGTCACGAAAGAAGCAACGTGACGCGCCTGAGTCAAGTGTGAAAGTGTGCAAGCCCTCAACTGAGCAAGGACATGTGGCAGGAGACGCACGAGCACCTAAAGCTGCAGCAGACTCAAGAGCTCCTAGTACTGCAGCAAACTCACTAGCACCTAGTGCGGCAGCAGACTCATTAGCACCTGGTGCAGCAGCCTCGACAGAACCAGTGACACATCGCTGAGGAAACAACTTACTTAGCACCTTAGGGGAGAAGGTCTCCTACTGACTCTGCTGCCGACTCTGTGCAGTACGTAGAAAACCAAAGCCTCCCCCACCTGGACGGGCTCGCTGAAGAACCCACTCGCGAAGCTGCTGAGGGGTGGGGTTGTCTGGGAGAGGCAGTGACCGCCGCTGTCCACCCCTAGCCGCTGCAACTGCCGTGATAGTGGTCATGACAGGCAGTGACGGTCAGTAGTAGGTCCAGCACCTCCGGCACCAGCAGCAGCAGTAGCACGAGCAGCAGCAGCAGAAGGGCGGCGCAAGCAGGGCAGAGCAAGCAAGGCAGCAAAAGGGCGGCGAGCGGGCTGCCAGAGGGCGGCGCGCGGGCTGCAGGGGCGGCGAGCGGGCTGCAGGGCAGGGCAGCGCGCGGGCTGCAGGGCGTGCGGGCAGCAGGGCAGGGTAGGGCAGTGCAGCGCGCGGGCTGCAGGGCAGGGCAGGAAAAACGGCCTGCCTAGGGGCGCGATTCGGGCATGAAAATCGGCCAGCCTAGGGGCGCGATTCGGGGAGGAAAAATGGCCTTCCTAGGGGCGCGATTCGGGCAGGAAAAACGGCCTGCCTGGGGGTGCGATTCGGGCTGGAAAACGGCCAGCCTAGGGGCGCGATTCGGGGAGGAAAAACGGCCTGCCTAGGGGCGCGATTCGGGCAGGAAAAACGGCCAGCCTAGGGGTGCGATTCGGGGAGGAGAAACGGCCTGCCTAGGGGCGCGATTCGGGCAGGAAAAACGGCCAGCCTAGGGGCGCGATTCGGGGAGGAAAAACGGCCTGCCTAGGGGCGCGATTCAGGGAGGAAAAATGGCCTGCCTAGGGGCGCGATTCGGGCAGGAAAAACGGCCAGCCTAGGGGCACGATTCGGGGAGGAAAAACGGCCTGCCTAGGGGCGTGATTCGGGCAGGAAAACGGCCAGCCTAGGGGCGCGATTCGGGGAGGAAAAACGGCCTGCCTAGGGGCGCGATTCGGGCAGGAAGAACGGCCAGCCTAGGGGCGCGATTCGGGGAGGAAAAACGGCCTGCCTAGGGGCGCGATTCAGGCAGGAAAAACGGCCAGCCTAGGGGCGCGATTCGGGGAAGATAAACGGCCTGCCTAGGGGCGCGATTCGGGCAGGAAAAACGGCCAGCCTAGGGGCGCGATTCGGGGAGGAAAATCGGCCTGCCTAGGGGCGCGATTCGGGCAGGAAAAACGGCCAGCCTAGGGGCGCGATTCGGGGAGGAAAAACGGTCTGCCTAGGGGCGCGATTCGGGCAGGAAAATGGGCAGAACGGAACTAACGGTGGGCCCTAAACGAGTGGTCCTACAGATGGACCTGCTCTGAAACCATGTTGAGAGAACTGTGCATGAATGATTGGATTAGCAAGTGTTGGGGTACAAGTACTAACCCTAGAAGTGTTGTGCCCAATAAGGAGTGCCCCACTATAGCCTACAAGTAAGATGGTACTTTGACATGGATGTCTCGGTCCTGGTCAGGCCCTCAGATATCAGGTTTTTTACCCTTATTTGACTGATTTTCAGCCTTTTTTCTGTACCAGCCCTGAACTTTCAGCCTTTTTTATTGTGTAACCCTGAAATTTCAGCCTTTTTTTATGGAAGGGGACTGATTTTTCAGCCTTTTATCAAACGTGTACACTGAATGCAGATTCCGCATCCTTCCTGTAAGACACCCGAGATTATCGGGACTGCAACATTTCATATAAAATGCGTCGAGATTTAAAACACATTTGCCTTCGACAGCGTGAACTGTCCCAGTCGTTATCGTAATTACTGCTGAAGGGAAAGGCCCTTGATTCCTTGTATTTTCATATCTGGTTGGGCCTAACTTGTAACCACAAAAACTAATTATATGAGATCAGACTCTTTGTTTTTTTAGGAACCCTGAAATTTCAGCCTTTTTTTTTTAGGAACACTGACAATCAGCCTTTTTTTTCACAGGGACCCTGATGCACCAGGGTCCCTAAAAGTGAATCTGAGGGCCTGGTCCTGGTCCCTGAAGTTACAGTAGTTTAATGTAATCCAAGAGATACACAATTTCTTCAAATTAATCAAATTGGTTAAGGAGTCTTACTCATCATACGCACTCCAATCACAACTCTGTATGCATTCCGGGCATATCCTGACGACCCCAAGGCGGAGGAGTGTTCCCATTACTGTAGTATTTCGGAAGCACCTCCCCAAGCAGGTACATGGCCCCTGCTGCTATGCCCACCAGCAGAGCAAAGACCAGCGCCAGCTTGAGAATCTTAATGATAAGGTTCTCATCCTTAATGCCTGATCTAGGGAGCACTCCTCCCGGATAGAGATCGCGCATGTCCTGGTGAGGGCATGGAAGAGATGAAGAGGGATAACTTATGGAAGAGAGTGGTGCGGGTAAAAGGGGATGGAGCAGTATGAAGGAGAAGTGTGGGGCGAAGGGATGAACAGGTTGGACTTTATGGCAGCCCAACCGCAGCCCAATCGCAGCCCAGTCAGCGCCCACCCAGTCAGTATTAGGGACGGACCTCGAGCCAGGATTTGAGTAACGAAACAGAAACTGCAAGCTTGCACAGCGCAGCACCAAAATAAGTGAATTCCAGGTGTGCGTGTCCATGCAACACCCGTTGTGTGTGGTCCCTACTCATCCCTCACGGAACCCTGTGCGTGTCCACGTTGGCAAGCCTCCAATGAGCATCTCTCTCTCTCTCTCTCTCTCTCTCTCTCTCTCTCTCTCTCTCTCTCTCTCTCTCTCTCTCTAGTGAAACAGGCCTGCGTGCCACCTGATGCCTGCTTGCATCACTCCGCATGTGCAAGTGCAACAGCAGCACCGTGGATGTGTGACTTGCAATGGTTTTGCACATGCGCTGATGCGACGAGTGGTTGGTTTCGCCGATAAACACCTATAGAAACACTCAGGAGCGAATCACCAGACACCATGCATCCATGTACCCATCCACTCACCCACCCACCCACCCACCCACTCACCCACCCACCCACCCATCCACCCACCCACCCACCCACCCACCCAGCATTCACACGATCCTAGCAAGTGCTTGCCTGCACCCCTCTCACCATGGCATTTCGGATCTGTGGCGGCTCATCTTTTCCCGCCAAGCCCTTTTCGAACAGAGTCTGCGGCTTTTTTGGCACAGGCTTTGCTGGTGCGGCGGCGGCTGCTGCTGGGCGGGAGGGTGGGAGGGAAGAAGCAGCAGAGCGTGAGTGGAACAAATGAAGGCATTGGGTTCAAAAGAAGGGAGCCAACGTGCCTCATTAATTCTAGCCTTCTTCAGCTTATCCCCAGTTTCTTGCCTTCTCCCCGGTTCGGATTCTTGCCTTCTCCTCGGTTCGGATTCTTGCCTTATCCCCAGTTCGGATTCTTGCCTTCTCCCCGGTTCGGATTCTTGCCTTCTCCCCGGTTCGAATCAGCTTGAAATGGATTCAAATACGTCCCTTTCATATGAAAACCACCAAGTACCCCTCGATACACCCGCCGAACCCTTCCTCCAATGATGACGCCAAACCATTCCCATGCTTCACCTGCCAGCACTGCAGCATGCGACTACAGCATTGACTACCTTCCCCAGATCCCACCCAGGCAACCCCGCGCAACACTCGCCCCCTCTCTTCCCCCTCCCCTCTGCCCTCTCCCCTCTCCCCATCCCCCCTGGCCCAACACGGGCCCCTCTTTTTCCCACCCGTTTTCTTCCCGTCGCCTGATCCCTCAGTCCAGTTCGTTTGATCTGCAGGCCCCGCCACTTCCATTTCCCTCGTCACTCACGTCTCCCTCATCTCCCTCATCTCCCTCACCTCCCTCATCTCCGTCAACTCACCTGGGCCTCGCACCCTCGCGATCAACGGCCACTTGGGCCCTCCCGCGCCCTCGGGAAGCTCGTCCAGCGAATCCGACGCCGACAGCTGTCGCGCCTCCTCAGCATTTCCCGCCGCGCCCGGCGCCGCCGGGAGCGTCACGAAGACTCGATGGACGGGTATGCTTTCCGAGCCGGACGACGCGATGGTTTCAGCGAGTCGCTCTTTTAGGTCTAGGATCGTCGCGTTTGCGCCGAGCGTGGCGCCTCGGATGCGAATCACATCGGATAGGTCTTCCCCTGGGAACTCCACGCGCAACCAGATATCGTCGCGGGGCTGCTTCGACCGCGATTTGGTGGCCCCTTGCGACTCGGATTCCGCCATTGATTTTAGGAGCTTATCGCGGCGGTTGAGTTACACGTTTCGCGTAGAACTAGCACGCTGTTTCCTGGCTTTCTGGGTGGTGACGTCAAGGAAATCGACGGAACGAGGGTACTACAAGAGCCGACGGGCTCTGTTGAGATAAGGAAAAAGAGTTTATCTGGAATGGAAGCGATGATGTAAAACTGCACAAGCAGGAACCCACACGATCCCACAAAAGAGGAGCTTTGGTGTGGACCACGTGCATCACGTGGCACGATTGGGAAGGTAGAGGCTGAAAGAGAGCAGCAGCAGGAGGAGGCGGGAACATCGCAAGCGGCAAGCAGTAAAGGGAAAAAACGTTTCCGCTGCACACCGCCGTATTTAAATTTTTTTTTTTTTTTTTTTTTTTGGAAATGTAACTATATTATCAAACATAGATACATCCACAGTCGTAACTGTATACCTGGAGGGCCTATGCTACACCACAATGAGATGTCGCATATCCCCCCTTGGAGGTCTATGGTGGCTGGTGGCATGTGCGCGGGTTGCGCCAGATGGACAGAAATTGACCCGACCAGCATGCAGGACCATCCACGTTGCAGATTCCCTGCAGTTGTTCCCTCTCATCCTTTGCCACATGTCGCCAACTATCTGTTCTCATACCGCAAGCCACCTCACCCGTGGCCTTGCCTCTCCCGCGTGCTGCCAGCACCACCCTCGCATGCGTCATAAAATCCAGCACCGCACCGCGACCCACTTTCTTCCGCTCGAAAACTTCAGCCCTCCAAACTGTATTGCATCTTGCCAGCCAAATCTGTCGCAGCACCGCCGCCGTCAACGTCATCTCCGGGAAACCTGACGCTGTCCCCCCTTCCCCAAACAGCAAATCACCCAGCGAGTCCACCTGTCTGACCGGATTCAGCATGCGCAAGGAGCGCTTAAGCGCGCCAATCACTGGCTGAATGACCGGGCAACTGTAGAGACAGTGGGCTAGGGTTTCCTCCTCCCCACAGTGCACGCAGCTGATCCTGTTCTGGAAAAAATCCAACCTCCCCCCCACCTGGAGGTTCTTGCTGTGTATCCGGAGCAGCACATCCCTCGCCTTGAGTGGGACGCTGATAGAATCACGTGTATCGATCGCCCTTTTCCAGTCAATCTTCCTGCCCCACGCCACTTCCCACTCCGCCTGCCTCCATGAACGCCCCACCGCTTTGGCGAGCGTCGCCCGTATCTTACACAGAGGCGCCAGTTCTCCCTCAACGAACAGCCCACAGCAGGTCAGCAGCTTCACTTTCGGGTCACCCGCCGGTCCCAGCAGCCTTCCCTCTTGGACGATTAACGGCTGCAGATTACACGCTTCGAAACAGGTCTCCCTGTTCCTTGCCGGGGCGAGAAGCGTTCCACCATCGCCGACCTCCATGTACGAGGCAAGGATTCCCCCCTTGTCTAAACCCTTCACTGCCCACGGAGGCCCTGTAAGCTCGCCCCGAAAGATGAACTTCACCACCCCTGACGACGCCACCACTGCCTCTGGTGTCACTGGCTCCTCGACCAGCTTCTTCCACTCCGGTGGCATGGCCACATACGCTTTGCGTGCCATGACCGCCGCCTCCTTGGATCCCAGCTCCACCGTTAGTACCGCTTCATCCTTCAGCACCCTGCTACCCCTCAAGCCGTCGGTAAGCAAGTCACGTAACCGCGTGCAGAGGAGACTCTCCGTGCCCAACTGATGACCAAAGGGGCTATTTCCTCTGTGCATGATGTGCCGGTTGAAACAGATGAACTGTCCCTCCACCTCCCATCTATTCGCAGGTTCCGGCAGGGACGCAAGGGGCGACTTCCAGAAGACTTTGACCGCCGCCTTCCATCTCTCACTCCCATGCTCCCACCGTTTAATCGCAGACGGATGTGCGTGAAGCGTCGCCCACCCTTGTGGGAAACTCGCCGCCTTCTCCGCCAACCACCGTCGCGCTCCATTTTGTTCACCCAGAAGCTTGCCTATTCTGCGGATAGCCAGCCCGTCGAGGCAGAGCTTCGGGTCCAGTTGGCCCAATCCCCCATCTTTCCGCGGGAGGCAAGCCAGATATGCACTCCAGAGAATGAAAACATTTTCCTCCACTGCCTCCCCCGCCGAGACGAAGGCATGACAGAGCTTTCTTATCTTCTCCCACAGCTCGTCTGGCGGCGAGTACACCTGCGCCTGAAACATTAGCACCGGAAGGACATAGCAGCTGATGACCGCTACCCTCGCCGTCGTCGTGAGGTACTGCGACTCCCACTTTTTAAGCTCCTCCTTTATCCTCTCATAAGCCCTCACCCAGGACGGGCCAGCGTCACCACTTGGCGTTATCCACACACCCAAGAGGCGTTCCGGCTCGCCCCTCTCCGACCACTTGTATGGTATGCCTGTCGGTGCCGTGGTGCCTCTGTTACTCCCCAACGGTACCACCACGGACTTGTCGCAATTCACCTTCAACCCCGACTGTTTGCCGAAAGTGTCTAACACCCCCACCACCTTCCGCAGCTGTTCCTCCCCTTCCAGCAGGAACGATGTGTCATCCGCATAGCCCACATAGGAGATCGGTGTCTCACCAGGCGGGCCCACCCCCAAACCTCTGCGCAGTGTCTCTCTGCAAAGCGGCTCCAGTGCACACAGGAATAAATAAGGCGCCAGAGGGCACCCCTGCCTGACCCCTCTGTCCATCTCCACTCTGTCACTTAACCACCCGTTGACTATCACCCTTGTACCTGCTCCTGCATGCAGGCCCTTGGTCCAGCCGATGAACCTGTCCGGGAACCCAAGCTCCTTCATAACCCTGAACAAGAAAACCCGTGACACCGTGTCATACGCTTTCTGGAAATCGACGAGCAGCAGCAACCAGTCATTGCCGCCCCCGTTCGCCGCCTCCACCGCGTCCGCAACCACCGACACTGCGTCAGCCAAGCTTTTTCCAGGTAAGAACCCATGCTGCTCCTTAGACAGCACCTTGCCCAGCACCTTCTTTAATCTTGAAGCCATGATTTTGGTGACGAGCTTGTACATGACCGATAGCAGAGTGATAGGCCGGTAATTACCCAGACTGTCCACCGGTCCTTTTTTATGCAGCAGCACCGTCACAGCCGTTGATAATCCTTCCGACATCCTCGCCGTGTTCGTGAAATCTCTAATGAACTCCATCACGTGTTCCTTGAGCAGATCCCAATGCAGGATGAAATATTCCGCCGGGAGACCGTCTTGACCAGGGGACTTCCCCTTCGGCAGGCACTCCAAACCCTCTTTGACCTCCGCTTCCGTCCAGTCAGCGCCTAACATGTCCGCATCCGCGGGCGACATCCTCGCTCCCTCCGAGAACCGTCCCCAATCCACTTCCTCCTCCGGCACCACCTCCCTGAAGGCAGTCCTAAAATGCTCCGCCGCCGCTCGCAGAACCTCCTTGGTCCCTCGGAAGGTCCTTCCCCCATGCGTGATTTCTTGTATCGACGTTCGTTTTTTCCGCATCTTGATCTTCGCCGACAGGTAGGGTGACGGGATCTCCCCGTTCAGCTCCACCCGGATGCCCGCCAACACTTGCAGTCTGTCTCTACTGCTCCGCAGGTAGGCCTCCAGGTGCGCCTCTTTACAGACCAGCCTGTTCTGCGCCCTTTTGTCACCCGGGTGTCTCATCACCTTGTGCCGAAGGAACTCAACCACCCGCTCAAGGTGAGTAACCGTTGCTCTCACCCTTTTTCTTTCCTCTCTCGTATACTCCTTAAGGCCGACACTGAGTAACTTCAGCTTCTTCCCCAGGTCAACCCCTTCCTCTTTTTCCAGCTTCCTCAGGATGCTTGCAGTCACTGTACTAACCCCTCTCCGTTGTGCTTGCCTCGCCTGCATCCTCCACAGACCCGGACCCTGCTCTACCAGTGCGTTAACCGCCAGCCCGACCTTAATCCCAAACCAGTGATCAGTCAAGCTCCTTGGTACTTTTATGTGCTTCGCCTCCGCCAGCAACCCCAGCAACGAGAAGGAGACCAACCCCCTGTCGATGCGCGTGCTCGCCCCAGTCGCCCTGTCACGGAAGGTGTATTCCGGTCTGGTTGGGTGCAGCGCTCGGAAGGCATCCCTGAGATCCGCCGTCCGCCAGAAGCTCAGAAGTCTCTGATTTTCATTGCCCGAGCCCGATCATGATGACCGGTCCAGATCCGGATCCTCTACCAAGTTCAGATCCCCCATCACTACTAGGTGAGTCGACGGCGGCTGTGCATCGACGAACTGCGCCAGACAGCTCTGAAAAAACACCCCCCTAGCACACGCTTGCGCAGGAAGGTACATCGCCACCAGCCTGAAAGAGACCTGTGAGTACTCCACTGTGACCCCTACCAGTCTCCCCGATGGATGAGTGATTACGTCCGTGAGCTTGACCTCTTCGTTGAAGGCTAATACCGCAACCCCACCTGCTCTTTCACTATTTCCCACCACCGCCGCTGATGACGGTTTCAGCTGGGTCCAGAAGTTATGATCTTCTCCTATCCTTGTGTCTGTGAGCACCGCGACATCTGCCGCTGTTTTAATCCAATGTGCATGCTCCGTTCTTTTGCCGTTATTTCCGAGGCCGTTGACATTGACCTCGCACAGTGTGAGATTTCGGTTGTTATCCATTAATCCACTGGTCAAAGACCCCCTCGCATCCACGGGATTGAGATAGAGACACCACTCCTACCAACAACTGCTCTTGCGTAACAGGTACCGCACCACACTCCTTCCGTCCCCATCCTTTATTGCTCCACCGCACTTTATTTCCTTGACCGCCTCTGATACACCTGCATGGAAACGCGCACTTCACTTCTGCAGCCCAAACTCCTTTCGGACCGGGATCAAATTCATCTTCCCCCGGCTTCTCCTGCTTGCCGAACCCCCTTGCAGAAGCGCGGTGCAGTGCTGGACCGATTTCACATGCACCAACGCCTGGGAGAAACTGGAGCCGTGCACCTTCCCACACGCCTCCTGGACACACAGCCAGTCTTCCCGGCTTCCCCCCGTGGAGATCAGCACCAAGGCGGGGTCGCGCAGAATCTTCTTCACACGAGCGTCGAGTGGAAGGGACGCAGCTGCTCACGCAGGAAGCGATGCGGCTGTCAGCGAACCCGAGCGGGACCCCGACAGCCTGAAAAACAAGGTTAGAGCACCACTTGTTACCATTAATCGCATGCAGTCGCTCCAGCGTCAGATTCCACTTTCCGATATTCTCCTGACGTTCCGTAACATAATCATCATGGAACTTTGTCATGTGCATGCCGTTGCAGAAATCACAGGAAAGCGATGGAAAATGGACAAGAAGCTGCCTGTGGTGCACCGAGTCAGTCAGCAGGTGCCACCAGCGATACTTATCCCCCGGGTGGCCTTTGACCAAGCCCCTGATCTTGTCTGTGTCCGCACCAGTAACCGGATCAACCACCCGGTGGAAAGCCGAACCACTCAAGAAGGGGGTTCTGCCACGCTTCTCCAGCACCGCCGTCACCAGGTACTCATAAACCATCTCCGGCGTTATGGCGGCAGGCACACTCTTTAGGAGCACTTCGACCGAGTCTGGGTGCTTCGCGCGTTCCATGATGTACAGCGGGTTTTCTGGGTGCTGCCAGTCAAGGGTGATGCCAACACCGTTCAACATCTTGTGCTCAACCCTGCGGCACCACGCGTAGTTCGCGTCCGACGCCTGCTGAAAGGTAACTTGCAGCCGTCCGTAACGCTTCTTTGACAACCACGCCGGTAAGAGCACTTGACACTTCGTCGTTGTCAGCACATGCGCCGACATATACTTTCACCACAGCGCCAGCAGACCCTTAACCGTGTCAATAGTCCGCTCCACCTCCTCTTCGTACTTGATCGGGATCAGCAGCGTGATTGAAAAGCCAGCACGCGCGGCGATCTCCCCCGCCTTCACGGGGTCAAAACGTTCCTCCGGGTCATCACTGAGGTACCCGTCATCCTCATCCTCCTCTTCTTCTTCCCCTTCAGCAGGAACCTCTGGAGCTACGGCCGGGGACGACACCTCATCCGTGTTCTTCTTCTCCTCCCCTGCTTCAGTAGACCCCTCCGCAGTGCGATCCTCCAGGGACGAGAACTTCAAATCATTCAACTTCTTCACCAGCGAGATGCGCGTTTCATCCGCGAAAGGGCCTCCCACTTCCTTCAGCATCGGACGAGGCGTCGCTGGCTCCGAATGGTGACTCGTGGACGCGGACTCGCGAACACCATTGTCCGTGGGCTTGCTCACTGGCTGAGCAGCTTTCTTCGGCTGGCGCGGCATGGTGCAATGATGACAACTGCCAAAGATGTAACCAGAAAATCGTGATGGGAAAGGTCCCGCTGGACTTGACTGGCTAGTTCTGAGCACCGACTTCTTATAAGCACGCCGTTTAGGCCTCGCCTTTTTCCTTGGATGCTTTTTCTTGGGAGTCCTGCTCTTGGTAGAAAGGCGACCCTTGATAGTTGGATTCCGAGATGAAACCTTAGCTTGTACCTCGGTAATGCACTGCGCTGGACATGTCAACCTCGAGACGCAAGCCTGGCAATCAAACCTAGATACTGTCAACGGCGGGAAATGGTAGCCTGACAATGAACCATAGAATACCATGCTCTCCATTTGAGCACAAAATTAGTATCCTTGTGTTCCTCCTGTCATGTAGAATCCAAACCCGTTATTAAATTTAGTATCTGGTAAGAAATTGATAGACAATGGTCCAGTTAAAGTAGCCTGACAATATCCATGTCGGAGGGACGCTCGATGTCGATCATTCTGAATTCGAGGTCAAAATGTTCGATCATTATGTAACCGATTTACTGTACTGAACAAGGGGTGGGTTCTACTAGCGCGGAAACTAACTCGACCTAGCCATCGAGATTTGCGTGACGCGCACGTGGTTCAGAAACAGTAAGTTTCCCGCGCGATTGGGAGCACAAGATTGGTTGAAAAGGAAAGCCGAGGCTGATTCTGTGAGGGCCGAACCAGCTCAGGCTGTAGGCGAGACGGGCAACAACTTGAAAAGCTTTGACAGGTTAGTATTTATCATGTAGGGTAGATTAGAGTATTTTGAAGTACATGTATTAATGCATGTCTGAAGTAGTATATTTCCACAGGCCCCAAGTTCCCACTAAGAGCTAGCAGAATTCATAAGAACTGGTGTGTCGTGCACAAACAATGCGCCCAGTGTGATTTTTACTCCTACAATTACAGCTGGTGTCCTTCATGGATCCTACAAGGAACTACCGTACCATTACCACAGCTCAGCAACTAAATATCGAACAGTCGTACACGCACCAAAATTCCCCTCACTGCGCCTCGGTTGCAGCATTTGCCACGCGGGTCGCCTTGTCGTAGGGGTCCTGCCGCCCAGAGAGGTTGCTGTGTTTGAGGTCCATGAGATACTTGTGGTTGAACTTGTCGCTGCCCCAGTACCCGTACGCCTTCACTGGCTGCCCCCACATGCTCTTCAGCTCCTCGCACTTGGCCTTGGTTTGCTGCAGGGAGGTGGATGCGATGGGATAGGAGGAGGGAGTGGAAGGTAAGGGAAGGAAATGGGACGACATTTGAATCAACTCAGAAGTCACTGGGTGCGCCCACATGCTCTTCAGCTCCTCGCGATTTGGCCTTGGTTTGCTGCGTGAAGGTGGGTAGGATGGGAGGGGAGGGAATGGAGGGGAGGGGAGGGGACGCAATGTGTGTTGAAAGAGGAGGGCAAGGCAGGGCAAGGGAGGGGGAGGGAAGGGAAGGGGGGAAAGGGAAGGAGGGGAAGTGCACAGGCGGGGAGGAGATGAAAGGGAAGGAAGGAAAAAACAGAGTGATGGAAAGGGAAAGAAGGGAAGGGAAGGGAAGGGGAAGGGAGGGAGGGCGAGAAAGTACAGAAAGATGAAATTCACGTCGCTATCTCCCCCTCACTCGTCCCAAAGAAGTAACCACGTCTGGCCCCAACAATGTAAAGCAGAAAGAATCGAAGGACTTTTGGTCAGTCAAAACGGTCCGTACAGTGTAGGAAAGGGGGTCCTTAACGGGTCTTACAAACCATGGTCACACAGTGAAGGCGAGGGTCTCACAGCGAAGGGTCACAGCAGAAGGCAGATTAAGAGAATCTAAAATGAGCAATTTTAAGCATCCCTTTCAAGCCTACCTCCCTCATTCTCTTCTCCTCCCCCCTCCACCCTCCCCAGCTTTCCACCTTTTCTCCCTTCTTCCTCCCTCTTTCCCTCCGTCCGTCCCACCCGCTGACTCTCCCTTCCTCCCTGCGTTCCAGCCTCCCTGCCCTTCTCCCCAGCACGACATCCCTGCCTCTATCTCTCACAAGGTAACCCTAATTTTCACACATGACGCTCAAATACACAGTCGTAATCACGACTCACCTTTCTCTCACCTACGCACTTGGCTGACATACCCTTGCCACGTGGCTGCTCCTCGGACCTGATCCTGTAACCTGGTCCACTCCCGCTTCCCCGTGCACCTTTCGCCGTCACCATGTAACTGTGTATCGGCTTTCGCCAACCTATCATCGCCTCTTTCACCTCTCCCGCTACTGGAACCGATAGGCGACAGGATAATAGCCATTAAATCAACTGCGGTACAGCCAGTGGAACCATTGCGCGTTACTTAATTCAACCTAACCTAATTCAAACTTAGTTCGACATCCGCTCGACCTTCGCTCTACCCACTTCACTCGACCTCCGCTCGACATCGGCGTTCAACCCTCATGCTTCCCCGGCCCAGGAGAGGAACGCCACGCTGCTCACCCGGATTCGAGCGGCGGCGCGTTCGTCCCGATCGCGCGGATCCTCCATTCCCGCGCGGATGAAGTGCTCCACGAACTCCATAATGAACGCCATGACGCCGCTAAAGAATACGCTTATAGCGGGTACAGCAGCTCGGACCGTAACGGAACCGGACGGGAGCGAATCTGAGCCAAGAGCAGTGGGAACGAAAGCGTGTCGATAGGCAGAGGAGCGAGAAAGACCTGAACGTGACGGAAGCTAGACACTGGCGGATTTAGAGGATCTGTGCGGTGACGGTAAGCGGATGATAGAGGGCGACGACCGCAGGAATGGCGGAGGTTGCGGGGGATATGGAGGCGGCGGAACAGAGTACTTGGGTGTGAATACCCTAGAGCAGAGCAAGCAACGGGACAACAGGTACTGGTATGTTGGGAGGAGGTGGGCTGCAGCGAGCTTTAGCGCTAGCGCACGTTACAGAAGCATGTTACAGTGGCTCCACGAACATTGAACAGCTTAAGTGTGTAGTTCTATAAAAGCCTGCTATAAATGTTGAAGCCATGGTGCACATTCCGCTCCGCCCTAATTCAAACACAGGTTTATCACTTCCTCAACCAGTTTGCCAGCACAAAGGCGAACAGAAATTTCCAGTTTCAAGTGAACACAATTCTGATCGGGGCCTATGGACAACATGGACAGCTACATTCAGAAGCAGAACAGGAAGCGCCAGCAGGAAGCTGCAGCTGACGAGTTCTTTAACAATGATAAGGTGATTACGCATATCTGCATCCTTTTTTTTTTACTGACAATTTTTTTTTGGAATGGATGTACGGTATGATACAGGATGCTGCTTTGATATTGCCAAACCCCCTGCTTCCAGTTGATGTTTTTTTCCTGACACAAGTGTATTTATTATCTAACTTGGCGATAATTTTCCCCCGTCTTTTTGTCCGTCACTTTCTCTCCACACCACAGGGGAAGAAGCGAAAGCTGACAGCAAATCAAGTAGCAACAGAAGGCTTATTCGCCCTTACTCAACGGAAGCGCCGCTAGCATTGTACCTAGTATTTCACACCAAGTTTTGCACATACGGTACGGCAAGTCCAGTATATTTGGCATGTGCAATGGTTTTAACCATAAGGATGTGTTCAATTCAGTCTTTTGTGGCACGTAGGTTCGGAGAAGGTGCGTGTGAAGGGGAATCGTTTAGGGGGGAGACGTTTGTGGCGCGCAGGTTCAGAGAAGGTGCGTGTGAAGGGGAGACGTTTGTGGGGCGCAAGTTGGGAGTAGGTGCGTGTGAAAGGGAGACTTTAAGGGGGGAGACGTTTGTGGGGCGCAGGTTCGGAGAAGGTGCATGAGGCGCATATTGGGAGAAGGTGCGTGTGAAGGGGAGACGTTTAGGGGGGAGACGTTTGTCTGCAGGATGGAGGCGGAACATTCACATAAGGATGGTTTATACAAAACAAGTAGATACGTATTAACCAGATATATACATAGAGGTCTGTCGGCATAGAACAGGAGTTAGTGGTGAGGGTGATGGTGCATCTGTAGACTGTAGAAATGCCATGTGATTCCATGCTGAACAGCAAAGATGGGCACGGACACATGAAGGAATAATCTCCACAGTAAAAAAAAAAAAAAAAAAAAAAAAAAAAAGGTTCAAGACATGGATGGAGAAAGGGCAGACTCATCACTTTATGATGACAACAGAGCAGGAAAAGGCATAGGGAAGGGAGTGGCAGAAAAGGCGGGTGAAACAAGGTCTAACAAGCACCCACCCACGTGTAGAGAGCAAGAGCCTACCCAGCTTGGAACAGTACAGCACAAGAGTTCCTTAAGTGTTGCCTGGCTACCTCGCAAGTGCCATAAAAGCTGAGCAAGAGAGCGTACCGGTAGGGCTTGGGAGAGTACTGCACGAGGATTCCAGGGGTGTTGCCTGGGGGGGCTCCCCACACCTGAACACACACAGTCGGTGCCAATCAGGGGAGAATGGTTGGTTGAAAACGGGAGATGCGAGGTGAGGAACAGGAAACAGTGGTGCTGGTGGTGTTAGTGGTGTCGGTGGTGCGAACGCAGAGGACACAGGAATGTAGAGTGCACGACAGTAAGAAGACACAAGTGGAGTGGAAGACACAAGCAGAAGCGGTCAGGCGGACTAGCTTCACTCAGTATGACACAAGCAGCAGTGTAATATCCTCCCTTTACTGATACTTGATTGCTGCTCGTATAGAATGAAAGAAAACATGGAAACGTCTGGACCGGAAACCCCCCCCCCTCCCCCCCCCCCCCAAAAAAAAAAACTCTTTTGTCCAACCTTTTTGAATCGCTTGAAGTTGGGTAAGGCAGAAGCAGAAGAACACGGGAACTGAGTTTCCTGAGTGGCAACGGCAGCAGCAGCAGGAGGGAGCGGAGTGAAGGCCATGCTGTGCATCTGCTGCTGCTGCTGTCTCTGTCCCAAAGGGGTTGCAGTAGGAGAGTGAGGAGGGGAAGGGACCACGACTAGCCCTTTGACAAAAACCACCTTGTTGATGATATCAGGTGGAAGTGAACTGCCATTCCCACCACCACCACCACCACCACCTCCTCCTCCTTTTGCTGCACTTCCTGCTCCTCCACCCCCCTCGCTACTCTTCATGCCTTTACTCTTGCTCTTCTCACTCGATTTCCTTTCCTCCCCTCCCATTCCGTCTTCGCCTTCTGCTTCCGTTTTTACACGGGCAGCGCGGGCAGCAGCAGAAACAGCAGGAGAGGCAGCACCGACAGCAGCAGCAGTGGCGCGGGGAGCAGCTTCGCTGGGAAGTTTCCTGGAAAAGAAACTTCGAACATCACCAGACCGCTTGCCTCTTGCTGCTGCTGCTCCTCCTCCTCCTGATGATACTGGCGATGCAGGGTCTGCTACGTTCAGGGCTGCTGGTACCACTGCTTCGTTCAATGCTGCTCCTTCTCTTTCTCCTTCTGCTTCTCCTGCTTCTGCTCTTGCCCCTGAACCTCCTGCTGACCCTAATCCTAATCCTACGCCTGCTTCTGTCCCCTCTCTTACCCCAGCGAGCACCTCCTTTCCAAGTTCTGTGCCTGCATTCCTCTTCCTCTTACCACCACCACCACCACGACCATCACCACCACCATCCCCCACACAGGGTGCCAGCCTATCTACAACATGTGATGACACTTCCTGTACTCCCGCCGTCACCCCTACCCCTCCTTCTGCTGCTACTGCATCTGTCTCTGCGTCATCTGCAGCACTTGGTGCCGTGCGGAAGGTTGGAGAAGACTCGTCGTCTGTTCCGGCATCACTGTCAGCAGCAGCAGCACCAGCAGCAGCAGCAGCAGCAGCAGCAGCAGCAGCAGCAGCACCAGCAACACCACCAGCAGCACCACCAGCACCAGCATTGGCAGCAGCACCATCCTCTGTGGTGCTGTCACTGCCATTGCCACTGTCGGTGTGGGAACCATCTGACAAGACCACTGCAATGGCACGGGGTTGCAGAGATGAGAAAACGGCATGAACTTTGAGCCGTCCCGCCTCAAAAAGGCAGCAGCACCATCCTCTGTGGTGCTGTCACTGTCATTGCCACTGTCGGTGTGGGATGCATCAGATAGGACCACTGCGGAGGCACGGGGTTGCAGAAACGAAAGAAGAAGAGCATGAATCATTAGACGTTTCAACTCTAAAAGCAGCAGCGCCATCCTCTGTGCTGCTGCCTGGCAATGCAACGAGGTGGCCTGTCTTGGAAGAAAAGGCCTGAATAAAACCTTGTGTTACTCTGTATTGGAGACGATTTAGAAGGCGTCTCAAAAGAAACGAGGAGGAGGAAAAGGCCTGCATTACCGTGTGGTGGTTCGTCTTGTCTTGTCTTGTGACTGCATTTGTGCCTCCCTTTTTGTGAGCGTCAATTGAGGATTCTCTAAACCCACCATCCACTCACTTATCCATCCACCCACCAATCCAGCGCATCAGTCAAGAGCGCATCTCCATTCTCACCAGAATCAGACTCGTCCAACTAACAGGCTGCTCCTCCCTCAGCCTTCCCTTTTGTGAGCAGTTTCTGGAAATCCTCAGAAATCCACCCACCCCACACCCATCACACACCCACCTACCCACCAACCCACCCACCCACCCAAAGATCAGAGCATCAATCAACGGCGTATCTCCATTCTCACCAGTATCAGCCTCGTCCAAATCCATGCCTGCTCCGTCCCCAGCCTTCCCTGCTGCTTTCGCCACCTCCCGGGGCCATTCAGGAGCAGCAGTCATGTCCTCCCAGCTGCCCATCGCCCCCTTGAGAGCAGCAGCTATCACCTTGCGCAGCAAGGCTACTCGTAGGGAGAGAGCAGCAGATGGGGGAGGGATTGTGGATACTTCTGCTGCTGCTGCTGCTGCTCTTGCTGCTGCCGCGGCAGCTGCTGCCGCTTCTGCTTCTGCTGCTGCTGCTGCTGCAGCAGCAGCGGCTTTTGCTGCTTTGGTTGCTGCCGCTTTTGCTGTCCTGCTTGCACCTTTTCTCGTTGCTTTTGCCGGGACGGTAGTGGGTGCAGGTGGTATGGACGAAGGGGGAGAGGGGGGGGAAGGGGAGGAGGAGGAAGCGGGTCTGGAGAGTGCCGGTAACCAGCAGAGGAGGGAGCGAGAGGAGGCTGGGAGGTGGGAGGCGGTGGGGGGGATGGTTTGAACCTGGCCGCCACATGCTGTGATGAGAGAGAGTAGCACTGGTGGGTGGTACTGTGAAGTGAACATGTGCATGCACGGCACGGATACACAAATATAGACATTGACATATGCACACATGCATGCACGCACGGAAGCACTCACGCACGCATGCACGCGTGCACACACACACATACATACAGACACGGAGGGGCACGGAGGGGAACACGTTTTTTGAGACGTAAATAGCAAGCAATTTGAAGACGAGTACGCACAGCACGGGGGGAGAAACAGAGCAAATTACCCAAGGTGACGACGACACAGGGATATGAAGGGTTCATCCTTGCGTTAGAGGTTTAAAGAGGGTTCCTTAGTAATCTTACCTCTCAACCCATGTACCTGCATGACTGTACCTCTCACAGAAGAATCGATACAAAGGACCGGTAGAAGAAGACTAGGAGTGCAACGGAGAGAAAGGTGTGGCCATGCCATGGATATGCAATGCAACTATGCTCACCACTCCCTCGTTCACTCACTCCCTCCTTCCCTCACCCACCCACCTCATGATCCCGAGTGCAAGAGACAAAGAGCACATCATTGAACACCCTCCGCCAGTCCTCCGCCACACCCAGCACCACCTCCTCTCCCTCCTCCTCCCCTGCTCCTCCCGCCCCCCTCTCCCTTCCAGAAACCCCCTCACCCCCAGCCGCCTCCTCTCTGTCTCCTGCTTGACTTCCTTGCACGCCAGTAACAGCAGAAGCAGGAGAGGGAAGGCGCAGGGCGACAGAAGCAGGCACCCAGAGACGAGGAGCATAGGCGCTTGAAGTAGGGATGGGTGCGCTGAGAGGCTTTAGAGAAGATACCTGCACGGTGTGGGCATGGGCACAGCAAGTGGGGACATGTTTTGAGACGTCTCAAAAGTAATCTAGTTTTGAGATGTCTCAAAACGAGAAGATACCTGCACGGTGTGGGCATGGGCACAGCAAGTGGGGACATGTTTTGAGACGTCTCAAAAGTAATCTAGTTTTGAGACGTCTCAAAACGAGAAGATACCTGCACGGTGTGGGCATGGACACAGCAAGTGGGGACATGCGACGGGGGAGGGTGGGGGAGTGGAGAAGAGGAGGGGGAGGAGGGGGTAGTGGAAACGGGCAGGGGATGGAGTGAGTAAGAGTTGCTGCTAAGAGCTTGAGAGTGGAAACTCTGAGAGCGTGCGTGTATGTGCGTATGCGCGCGTGCGAGTGCGTGTGTGTGCGTGTGCGTGTGTGTGCGCGTGCGTGTGTGTGCGTGTGCGTGTGTGTGCGCGTGCGTGTGTGTGCGCGTGCGTGTGTGTGCGTGTGCGTGTGTGTGCGCGTGCGTGTGTGTGCGCGTGCGTGTGTGTGCGTATGCGTGTGTGTGCGTGTGTCTCACCGCAACCCACAGGTGCTCTCTGACAAAGTGCCCAAGCCCGCCCTGCCCTTAATTCCAGAATCCGTCCGTCCCAGCCAGTCACACCATAGCACAACCAGTAACTCCAGTGCATGTTCACTCACTGCATCAAGCCATGCTGTCGAGACCACTGCACGCCCCTGCATGTCACCACCTGCTGGCAGAGCGGCATCAATCTTCTCTGCAGCAGTCCCACAGACAGGCCCGGCAGCAGCAGCAGCAGAAGCAGAAGCCGAATCTGCTGCAGCGGTAGGGGCAGCAGCTGCTACTGCTGCTGCAGCTGCAATGACGTGGCGGTCCACCGTTGCGCCATGTGGCAAAACGAGGTGTGTTGTCCAGGGCTGCCACGTTGGTGAGGAAGGAACGCCTGGTGAGGGGACATGGATGAGGAGTAGGATGAGGAGGAGTAGGATGAGGAGGAGGGGGGGGATGAGGAGGAGGGGGAGAATGAGGAGGAGGGGGAGGATGAGGAGGGGGAGGATGAGGAGGAGGGGGAGGATGAGGAGGAACAGTAGAGGTGAGTGAGAGGCAGAACACACAGGGCGGAATTAGTGAGAGAGCGATGCATTACGGATGCTCTGACCTAGAGAGGCCTCAAGGTGAGAGGGTGTATGAGACCTTGAGGCCTCTCTAGGCCTCTCTGGGTGTATGTATGGGAGGCGTTCTCCAAGCTTTTTCGAATCAAGAACGGATGGTTTGTGCTGTGCTGATTTGAGATGTGAAGAGAGCTTATGGGAGACGAAGAGTAGAGCAGAGCAGAACAAAGGCCAAGCACATGAGAACGAAACAAACTGGTCTAGTCCCTACAAGAACAACACCGTCCAATAGGTGACGGGAAAGGCAGAAATTCCACTATACACACCGCACTCAATGGTTTTCTGCACCCACTGCTCAGGTGACTTCTGATTCGACTCGAATATCACCTCGGCGAGGTAGAATCTACTGGAATTCTGCACTGAATGGGGAGCTCTACTCTACGCACGCACCGCAGTCAGTGCTCTTCTGTACCCACTGCTCCCTCTCCCCTCTGGCAAAGGCTGAGGGTGGCAGGCACACGGCCAAGGGGAGGAACGACGCCCTGCCAGAAGCAGCAGGGGAGGGAGGAATGATGAATGGCATACAGTGATTGTCTAGGCCTTCAAAAGACAGCAAACGAATGTTCCATGAGACCAAGTACACAACAGTCAGCACATGGTGGGAGAGTAGACGATTTCTCTGGCGTCACAAGCTTTCTTGAAACGATATGCACGCTTATGATGGAAGAGATGGACTGAACTAATTGTGGTGAGTGTGAGCGATGAGCTTGGGAGAGCGAAATGGGGGGAGGAGGGTGGGGAGGGTGCATCCCAATGGGCAGGGATGGGGGTGTGAGACAGGTAGGAAAGGGAGAAGGGAAGGAAGGGCTTGGGTTCTGTCTCCAGAGAGAAAAAACACAGATGACAGAGCAACATTTCGAATCAGACATCACATGCAGGCCCAGGTGCATGCATGCATCACATGGTGTGAGAGGATGGCGGCATGCATCACACCTAGCCCCCTCCCCCCCTGCTACAAGGTGCCACACTGTCAGTCCAGTCACGACGCACCTATACTTGGCTGTGTTGGTTCCGAACGTGATCACGTCTCCATCCCGAACCTCGGCCTCAGCTTCGGGGCTTGTCTTCACCAGCAGCGCCGGAACTGGTGCTTTGGAAGTAGCAGCACCAGCAGCCCCACCAGCAGCAGCCGCATCAGCAGCAGCCGCAGGTAAGAGGAAGGTTCCTAGTTTAGACATATCTTTCACGTGAAGGGATGGAAAAGGTGGAGAGGAAGCACTGTTTCTGTCGATACTGCCGCTGGCACTGTTGTTGTTGGTGGTGGCGGTGGCGGTGCGGTGGCTGCTGCGCAGTGCATGTCCGGTGTTGTGGAGGTGAGTGGAGGGCCAACGGAGAATGAGGTCGGCATGGTGGCGTGACACTGACTTGTCGTCTGGAATGGTGATGTCGCAGCCTGAAAAACGGGGGGAAGGGGGAGGGAGTGCAATGCAAGGAAGGAGATGCGGGGGAAAGGGAAGAGGGGGGGGAACGGAAAGGGATTTGATTCGACTCGAAACTCATCTGCAATGGTAATGTCGCAGCCAGCCTGAAGGGGGAATGCAGGGAGGGAGATGCGTGGGGAGAGGAGAAGAGTGGGTAACGAGTGGACGCAAAAAGCGGTGGTAATATGGCAGCCCGAGAGGGAGGAGACCGCGTGACACAGAGTGAGGTGCGGGGGGAAGGAGGGGAGAGGTGGCAGCTGGCAGCCGCAAGTCCCACAACGTCACAGCACGGCAAGATTCTAAAGCCAGGAACAGCTACACAGTCTAACAATTCTTTGGTCTGAGAGTCGTGCAATCTAGGTCCTAGTCTTGAAAATAGTCTTCATTATAGTATCACAGTCGTATATAGGCTAGTTGAGGAGGCTCCTGTAGACTGCTACCAGGAGGTGATTAGGGGAGAAATCTAGCCGAGGAGACAGCGAGAAGAGAGAGAAAAGTGGAACATACCCTTGCGTCCCACGGAGAATGAGCGAGGCCTTGCCAGCACAAGCGGTGGAGCTGCAGCAGCGAATCAGCAAAGGGAAAACCAGGGGAGGAAGGACAAGACGGAGATGATCGGAGTGCGGGACTTCAGAGAAAGAAAGAAATGTAAAGGTATTATGTGTGTGCATGGAGCACAGACTCATGGGTCACTGTAAGGCGACCATGTATGTTCACGGTAACAAGGGAAAGGCAAAGAGTAGATTATTCCTTTGAGGGTGTTTATCACTTTGCCTGTATCCAGCCCCGCATTAATACAAAGGACCGTTCGAGGGAAGAGATGTCACGGAACCTGAGGGATCGGTAATGGAGCGTAGGAGCCAAACCATGGCGTGCGGCTTAGCCCAAGAGCCGCTGCTGCTGGCGCTGGCGCTGTTGCTGTTGCTGCTTCTGCTGCTGTTGCTGCTGCTGGTGCTGTCGAATGGGGTTGCTATGCTGTGATTGATCGACGGGCCTCACTTCTCGATGGAAAAAAATGCTTCGCTGGGGTGAGTAGGGTGATGGTGGTCGAGAAAGGTGTGCGCAAGAGCGAAACGCGGAAATGCGACTAGGCTCCCCAGTCTCAATTTGAAACTACGTATCAGTGATTTTGCTTCCCACAGAGGCTCATTCATTTCAGAGTGGATCGATTTATCATACGAGGCTTCCAAATGAACTGCTGAACACATGTTTTGTCATACAAGTTTGAAACCCAATGAGATAAAATAAACAATTTTAATGCGCTTCAATATCATATGTAAGATCATCTTGCGTTGCGTGGTCATGAAGTGAATGTTTGAAAGTAAGATAGAGGTGTTTTTCATGAAGTATGCTTCTAATTGTGTCAACAACATTGTGCCCTCAAAGCTGTTTTCTTTTAGTTTTTTGTTTTGATAACTTGGAAAACAACTTGACGCAGTGTATGTATCTGTTAAATGGGACAAACTCGCTTCATTCCCTCGCAGCTGTAGGTGCCTCCGTTGCCACTGATGTGGTTTGTGTAGGAGAGACGCGGTACGAAATCTGTTGTGCATGAGGGCCAACACATCAGAGCGTGCATGGGCTTCCCACCCTGACAAACGAGGTTGCACAATGACACCTAGACCCTGCAGCTGTGGTGATCCCCCAGATGCATAACCTTTCACAGCTCCCTAAGAGCCGCTCTTTCTTCGTAGTCCCCACCATCAGCTAGTAGGCGCGATCCTCAGTCTTAACTATGGCGACAGGAATGTTGTGGTTTCTGCTGGTATGCGTTCTCATAGCGATTGCAAGAGTTGATTCCTCCATTCCAGCCATTTTCACGTTTGGAGATTCTACGGCTGATGTTGGGGAAAACAACTACCTTCCCTTTTCTTCATTCAAGGCTAACTTTTTGCCGTATGGAATGAACTACATTCCGATGTCTGGTCGCTTCTCCGATGGGAGGCTTGTCGGGGATTTCCTAGGTGGGTTCTTCGCCGTCACACGGAGCTTCAACAATTTGTTCCTTCGCAAACCGAAGCTCATTCTGTAAACCGCAGCTCAGTACATGGGCCTTGATCCAGCACCTCCGCTGCACCAACCCAAGGCCAATTTCAGCAGCGGAGTGAACTTCGCATCGGGGGGTGCAACAATAGAGAAGATTTCTAACCCGTTCCAGGTAAGATCGTGTGCAAATCAACTAAGAACCTATCGCTGTTGTTTTCTGCTGACATGATACGCGTCTCGTCGTGTTTTTCAGTCTATTGGGCTTAGTCGTCAAGCATTGGAGTTCACATTATTCAACAACATTACCATGTTGAACCGCCAAGTGGGTGACTATTTTCTGCTCATTTAGCTGCATACTGTACATATATAGCGACTTATCATGCCCGTAGAGTCTACGGCAGGTTGATGCATTGCGTAGGTCTCTGATCTTTTTTTCTGCGGGAGCCAATGACATCATTGTGTATGCGGCAACCAAGAACGGTTCCAGTCCTGAAGCTTTTATTAAATCTATCGTGCAGAAAGAAGTTCGACTGGTAAAGGTACCTTTACCGTTCTCCACTTTCTGTTCCTTTCTTTTGTTTTACATCCTCTCACAGTTCCGATATCCATACAGAGGTTGTACAGTCTGGGAGCTCGCAGGTTCCTTATAGCTGGTGCGGGTCCCATTGGTTGCACCCCTAGTGTCATGGTTTACACTCAGGCTACGAATTGTAGCCGTGAGGATTCTGTTAACGTTCTGGCAGCAGCGTTCAACATGGCATTGAATCAGACTCTCTTAGATCTTCAACAGAATTCATCGCTGCCAAATGCGACACTACTGTTTGCAAATCCCTACGACCTTGTGTTGGGAGCATCAATCAACCCAGGAAGCTATGGTGAGGAGGTGGTGGTGCTTGAACTTGTTTCTGTGCTCGTAGTACATCTCTCACACTGAATCTTGCTTGTGCTGCAGGATTTAAAGTTGGAATCGGCGCATGCTGTGGCCAAGGGAAGTTGAATGCTGAAGTTTGGTGTGGTCAAGAAGATGCTGGTGCATGCCCAGCACCTCAAGATTATGTGTATTGGGACGGTTTGCATCCTACCCAAGCCATGTACCAGATAGTGGCAATGAGCTTTTGGGACGGGCCCTCAAACTTCATCTCACCCATGAACTTGAAAGCTCTTAGTGTTCAAGATCCCTGAGCGTGTAGGTTGTGCAAAGTTTCTTGTATTGTAATATGTGTCAAGTTTTGTAAATACAGTTATGCCACGAAGATATTGGTTTAGTGGAAAATCAAATGGCACAAGCAATTGTATCACTATCGCGTCATAACGAACGAACTCGAAATGCGTTAATGTCGAGGCTCAAATCTGCTTCCAAACACATGATTTCCCCCACCATCAGTGCCTGCCACGGTGCATCTTCCCTCTTACCTAGTCTAGAATCCCTGTTATACGGTATGGCGTTATCACAAGCAACGCTGCCATCGCGGATATGTGCGTACTCCCCGAGTGAAGTAGCACCTCGCAGCAGGACATGTTTCTCTCTCACAAGTCTTACCGCGGGCCGAGCAGATGCGACTTTTGTTGCGCGGGCAGCAAGAATAGGATCGTCGCTGGATATATTTTCTGAACTATCCGAGAAGCTGAGTACGCATGTACTCCAGCGCACCCGCTTGAGAAGAAATTCATTAGTCGCACCTGAGGTCTGCTATCCGGAATCACGAATCACAGGAGGGATAAGTGGAATCAATTGCGAAATCTCCAGGAGCCGTGTGCGTGTTGTTGCTGCTGGTGGAATCGGGTCGTCTTCAGGCGATGCGGCTGGAAGCAGCAGCGCTGGGATTGAGGGCGCGGCAAGCGGTGGCGAGAGCGTCAAAGAGCTGAAGCAGCGGCTGCTGCGGGCTGTGGGGGGCACTCAAAGGGGCAAGGTGGGTCCGATTTATCACCATTTAGGTGTCAAGGTTTCACGGGACAGCGTCATCTGTTTATTTAGAGCAGCTTTAGGGTACCGGAAGGGGCACGGTGAGACACTTGGATCAAGTCGCGTGCTAACCATTTCCATCCAGATTATACGAAGAAGAGTCGTTAATGTATAGGTGCATCTGGACAAACGGTCGAGCGTCCTCTCTCTTCTGACCGCACCCCCCGCCCTCCCTCCGTCATCCACGTTTTCCCATGCAGGCAGCTTCTCCCCAGCAGCGAGATCAGATACTGCAACTAATAGAGGTGAGCGCAGCAGCAGCAGCAGCAGCAGCAGCAGGGTGCGTGGGCCACAGGATTTTGAGGGTGCATAGTGTTTGCTGTGTCCGTTTGTTTCTAAAAACTCCACCCCTTGGTGCTCGATTCTCCTACCCTGTCATTCCCCCCCCCCCCCCCCCCCCTTATCCCCGCTCCTCGCCTGCTACTCCCGTCCCGTCCCTCCCGTATCCCTTTCACCCACATCGACATTGGTGTGTCCCCTCCTTACCATACGATAACATGATGGCATGATGACGTGATGGCTTATCGTGGCATGGTGGCATGGTTACATCCCGGCGTGCTTGGAGGCATGGTGGCATGGTGGCATGGTGACGTGGTGACATGGTGACATGGTGGCGTGATGGCATGGTGGCATGATGGCATGGTGGCATGGGGGCATGCTGCATGATGACATGATGGCATGATGGGATGATTGCATGATGGCATGATGGCATGGTTGCATGATGGCATGATGGCATGGTGGCATGGTGGTGGCATGCTGGCATGCTGGCATGGTGCTATGTTTGCAGCAACTGGAGGCAGCCAATCCAACGCCCTCGCCCATGCTGTCTCCCCTTTTGGCCGGCACATGGGCTCTGGTCTACATCGCCCCCACCGAAGGTGAGTGCATGGCAAATGAGCAGCGGACCACACTAGAGGAGGTGAAGACACGTGAGGAAAGGGGGAAGCGGAGGACACATGAGGAGCGGAGGGGAGCACGCATGAGGAGAGGATCACAGATTGAATGACAGAGTAAAACCTGCAATGGAGCGTCCGGAAGTCGGGTGTTTTGAACAAGTACAGAGGCGGTACTTTCCCGTAAATATCCATCTCGAGTTGTTCAAGGGTTCAATACAAATATTACCTGGGGACGTGTTGCGTGTGACTGGCCTGCTGGGAATTAGTGAAGGGTTGTAGGTTGGTTGGCAGTTTCAGAGTAGGCAGTGCCAAAATTTTAGTGTCAATGTCATAGTCACATGTTCGTTCTCCTCATTTAATGCTTGCTTGCAGTGTAAATGCAGTGTAAGGCTGAGCTGACTTCAGCCAGTGGTAGATGCTATATGCATACACATTACATGCTGTCCTGCATTCCATGAGATGGGATCAGTTTTGGAGCATAGATTCGATTCCCTTCTTCTCCTGCTCCCAATCACCACCCCCTCTCCCATTCCTTCCTCCCCTTTTCCCCCTCAACCTGCATGCAGCGTCATCCAATGACTTGGATGCATCAAAGGAAGGCCCGTTTCTTGCTCGTTCGAACCCTATTCCCTCATTCCCCCCCCCCCCTCCTCCTCTCCTCCCCTCCTTCTCCCCTCTTCCCTCCCCCTCCTCATCCCCTCCCACCTGCATGCAGCTTCATCCAATTACTTGAATGCATCAAAGGAAGGCCCATTCCTCGTTCCTTTGAAGCCATATCTTTCACCTCTCGCCCCCTCATCCCCTTCCCCCAACCCCCCTCCTCCCCTCCTCCCTGCATGCAGCATCCACAAATACCTTGGATGCATCAGAGGAAGGCCCTTTCCTCGCTCGTTTAAAGCCCGCGGTGTTTGGAGGGGTCAGGCAGAAAGCTAGCCTGCAGGTGAGACGGGGTTGGGGCAGGCTTATCAGTCTATTTAGAAGTCGCTTTGGGAGGGAAAGTTGAGGCACCTCGATATTTTAAGATGATTTTTTAGGCACCTAAAAAAGGTGAGGCCAGAAGCAAGCTTGCAGGTGAGGTGCGGGGTTGGGACAGGCTTTTGGGTCGACACAAACATCATTTGGGAGGGATTTGGCAGAAGGGAAGTGTGCACTGTTCAGGCTGAACGGCAGGGCTTAGAGCCATGTTCGAGTCAGCCTGAAGGAAAGGGTCGGGCTGAAAGGAAGCTTGGAGTGGTGCTAGTGATACTTGAGTCGATTCAAATAGTCTTTTGGAAAGGTTGGGGCAGAAGAAAAGGCTGTGGGTATGCTGGGGATCGGAAGGGAGGGGAGGGCAGGGGAGGGGAGGGGAGGGGAGGGGAGGGGAGGGCAATGGAGGGGAGGGGAGGGGACTTACTGGGTGGGATATGTTTATGTGTGCACGTGACTGACTTGCCAATTGTAGGCTGAACATGAGGGTGAACAGTCACATGGGTTGTGATGGCATGTGATGGCAATGGGTGTGATGCCCGATGGCCCAAATATCTTATCAGAAGTAGTCACATCACATGCAAATAGTCATGCTCACATTATGCATGACTGATCGGCTCTTCTCTTAACTTCTTCTCCCTTTCCCTCCTTCGCCTATTTCTTGCTTGCCACACCATCACCTGCGCATTTCATGGCACACGCATGTCTTTATGTGATGCACCATGGGTGAATGCCACACTGCATGGGTGGTGCCGGCATGCCAGATTATCCATCCCGACGAGGGCAGAGCAGAGAACGTGGCGCTATTCACGGCATGGGGAGTAGATGGTGCGTGTGTGTGATATTATCCATGGTGGTCGTTCATGCTTCGCTCATAGTGGAAGAGCAGCACTCTTTATGGTGGTCGTTGATGCTGCTCTTCCACTATGAGCGAAGACCCTTGGGATAGGGAGGAGATGGTGCGTGTGTGTGATACTATCCATGGTGGTCGTTCATGCTGCTCTGTATGCTCCACTCAACAACAGCCGCTGGTTCTGCATGGTTTTTGAGGCGCCTCAAAATTCGTTGGTTCTGCATGTTTCTGTTTTGCATTGGTGCTCCGCTCCGCAGACAAAGCATGCTCACTGCTGCAGTGGGCATTGATGGCTCTACAGTGTGTCGTATCGACCCCCGTCCGTCCCCAACCCTTTTGCTTATTGCCTCTTCTTTCTTCTTCCATCCCTACCATCCAAACCACACACCCACCGATTCCCACCTGACTCCACCGCACTGCACCACCAGGCAAGCTGCAGATAGACGCGGAGTGCAAGGCACCAGAGCAGGAGAGCATGCAGGGAGTGCGGTCCACTGTCCGCTTCCTCTCCTTCAAGCTCTCCCTCGGACCCCTCTCGTTCACGCTGCCCCTCTCCCTCATCTCCCCCACTGGGTACGTTGTTTCTTGGTGCTTTGAGACGTCTCAAAGCAAGAGAGCATGCGGGGAGTGCGGTCCACTGTCCGCTTTCTCTCCTTCAAGCTATCTCTGGGGCCCCTCTCCATCACGCTGCCCCTCTCCTTCATCTCCCCCACTGGGTACGTTGCTTCCTGCTGCTGCTTGGAGTCGTCTCAAAGCAAGAGAGCATGCGGGGGGTGCGGTCCACTGTCCGCTTTCTCTCCTTCAAGCTATCTATGGGACCCCTCTCGTTCACGCTGCCCCTCTCTCTCATCTCCCCCACTGGGTGCGTTTTCTTTTGAGGCACCTCTGAAGTCCACTGCTCCCTTTCTCTCCTTTAAGGTCTCTGGGACCCCTCTCGTTCACGCTGCCCCCCTCGCTCATCTCCCCCACCGGGTATGTTGCTTCCTGCTGCTGCTCCTGCTGCTGTCGCTGCTGCAGCCGGTACTGCTGCTGCTTCTGCTGCCAGTGCCATTGCATCCAGCTGAGAAGGCTGACGAGGGTGACAAGGGTGACAAGGCTGACAAGGCTGACAAAGGTTCCATGGGTCCTGTGATTCATGCCACCGTCTCTCCCTCTCTCACACCCTCACCCCTCCCTCCCACTTTCCAATAAAGAGTCTGTGTTCCTTGTTGCCCCCTATCCCTCCCACACTCTCCCCTCCACGCTCTCACCCCCACGTTCTCCCTTCCACACTCCTCCCCTTCCTTCCTGATGCATGCAGGTGCATCGATGTGACGTGCATGGATGAGGAGATACGGGTGATGAGGGGTTGGTAAGGGGAATACCGACTGCTTGACAAGGGTCATGTGACGTCATGTGTTCCGCACCACCACCCTCTCTCACTCTTCCCCTGTTCATGATGCTCCCGGGTGGATCGACGTGACATACACTGATGATGAGGGCATGCGGGTGACGAGGGGTTGGTAAGGGGAATGACCCTGCTGCTACGCTTCCCCCCTCCCTCTCTCGCTCCCACACTCTCTCCCGCAGCTGGATCGGCGTGACATACATTGATGAGGAGATGTGGGTGACAGAGGGGTATAAGGGCTCCATGTTCCTTGCCAAGGGTTACATGAATGTTCCCTACCATTCTCATTTACCCTTCCGCTTACTTCCCAATCCTAGCAGGTGGATCGACGTGACATACATTGATGAGGAGGTGCGAGTGACGAGGGGAGATAAGGGCTCCGTGTTCCTTGCCACACGCGTCAAGGCGTGAGGGGAAGGGAAAGGAGAGGTTGGGGGGGGGGGGCTGGCGAGGGAGAATGACGAGGAATGGTTGGGAGTAGCAGTTGTGGGGGAAAGGGCGGTGCGGTGCAGTGCCATGGTTTGAAGACTACATGGAAGGACGATGGTTGGTTTGATTTAATTTGATTTGAAGATGGCTAACCTGCTACACAAAGGCGACACTATTTATTGGTACAGCTCTTTTGTATAGGTAGATTTAAATCGTTTCAGATTGTTATAAAAGACTCTACAGGGGCAGCCAATTAGAACAGCAGTTCAGGAAACCAACTATTTCACATGCTCAAACGTGCTTGAAATATATAAACAAAATTTGGAGAGCACTAGATCTCCAACTTTCTGTAGCTTCCTTTATTCCCACAAAGAGAAAGCATACACACCACATCTCCCTTTTGCCTCGTGTCAAACCATGCGCACGCAATCGTACGGAATCCCACATACCAAATCTATGCATGAATCCCACAATCCCACAAGACATCAGGAGGATCTCCATCTGCCACCCACCACATCAAACCATCACTGAGCACATTGCATACCTACCTACCGGTATGTACCACTCTATGTCACACTGCATATGCACACAAATCTCTGCAACACCACATGTCACAATGAGTCTCTGTCTCTTCCCCCTGTTTCCCTGACCACCACCAGCACCACCACCAGCACTAGAACCCACCATCACCAACATTAGCACCAGCTGTTGCTGTGCTACTCTTCCCCCTCCTCAACTTTCAGTCTACTCAACACAAACGTGAGCTGCTCCTATGCTCCTCCTACGCCACTCCTCCTGCAACTGCTCTCTCCCTGATCAAAAGGCAGACGCAGACTTCCTCTTTTGTTCCGCTCCATCCGCCCCTCCTCTCCTCAAACCACCTCCCCTCCACCTCCATCCACCCTGTCTGAATAAGACATAGCAGCAGAGCTACCAGCAGCAGCACCAACAACAGCAGGAGCAGCAGCAGTAGAGTCGGAAGGAGACGGCTCCATCAGCTGGCCGTGGTGTGCCATGAGGCTGTACTTGCGCTCGTATCTGTGAGGATAGTGGGTGGGGAAATAGCAGGGAGAAAGAATGGAAGGGAGAGAAGTCAGAGGAGCAGCAGCAGCAGCACTGGAGTCGGAAGGAGATGGCTCCATGAGCTGGCCGTGGTATGCCATGAGGCTGTACTTGCGCTCATATCTGAAAGAAAGGGTGTGTTCGGAGCGGGAAAGATGGAAGGGAGAGGGAGGAAGGGAGAGAAGCCAGATCAGCAGCAGCAGGAGTGCCATCAGCAGCAGCAGGAGTGCCAGAGGAAGCAGCAGGCTCCATGAGCTGGCCATGTTAGACCATGATGCTATACTTGCGCTCGTATCTGAGAGGAGAGTGGGGCATACGGAGAGGCCGAGATGGAAGGGAAACGGGTGAGAACAACATCAGGAGCACCATCTGAAACCAGCAGCTGTAGGCTGTGCCATGGGGCTGCTTTACTTGCTCTGCACTGCACACCCACATTGTGTCTGATCGCACACGCTTGAGGAATCTCAAAACACGTCTGATCAAACAGGCCAGCGAGAACCAGCAGCAGGTCTTCATTTCACCTGAACACTCACCTGAAGCAACATTCCCAGCCGAAACAACCTGAGCGCCCACTGAGGGCACCTGAGCGCTCACCTGAAACCCATCATCCAGAAAAAGCGGCGAGCAAGGGGAGGGGGGAAGACTGCATAGCCACTGGGTCCCCTTCGCTGCATGTCCTGATAGAATGTGGAATGATAGCAAAGCGGTGAGGGAAGAAGGTGCACTTGTGTGAGCATGTGCGAGTGTGTGTAGGGTATGTAGATCAAGCTACAGATGTTGGTCTTGGAACAAACTTGTAAAAAGAGGTCTGGAGGGTGGTTGGACAGGAAGGGAAGAGGAAATGTGGAGAAAAGTGCTTCCGATGTTCCGCATCAGGAATAGTGGGAGAAAACTACTCCTGCGGTTTTCACTGTTCCCACACCATGACTGCTAAACCTCCCACTGCTCCTCACTGCTCTTCACCGCTCCTCACCTGGATCAGCTTCCGAACGATTCGTCTGCCCACGCCCTTCTGCTGATACTCTGGCAGCACTGCCACATCGCAGATGGTGGCCTGGAGGGGGAAGAGAGGCACAGGGGAGTAGAAGGGTGTTGGAGGGGGCCGACATTATAGGCTAAGGTGGAAGAGAAACAGGAGGCACCCGAGTGTTTTCTTTAGAAATAAAACGGGGAGGGGAAAGGTGGGAAATACCGGAGGGGTGAAGGAGGGGAGGTTCGATTCGGGAGGGGGGAAGAGGCGTTGTTAAAGGAGGGGAGGGATGGATCATGGATGGATGGAAGGGTAGAGGCCCCAAGGGTGGAGATGGGCGCTGGACATGATACTAGAGAAAGAAACTATGTAGAGATCCATCCATTGAATGGCTTACTACTAATTAACTAGAGGAGGATCAATCAGATATGCCGTGCATCACATCGCATTGCATAGGGCACGCATAGAGGAAACGAAGGCGCGATGGCAATTTCAGAGAACGGCAGGAAACGGATAGAGCATGAGAGTCTGGGATGGAAGGAAAAGGGGGGGGAGGAAAGGGCGAAGGGTGGGAGACCGGAAGGAGTAAGGGTGAAAAACGGGAAGGGGGAAACGGGGGGAATTGGGTGGGGAAGGGGGGGAGAGGGGATATTGACAAGAGGGAGGGAACAAGAGAGGGGCTACGAGAGAGGGGCTTAAGAAGGGCTGGACTCACCACAAAGGATCCATCAGATATGGCTCGTCCCACACCTGATACAGCGAGACAGGGAGGGAAGGTGGGGGAAGGGAGAAAGGGGAAAGGGGGGAGGGAGAAAAGGGAAGGAGATCTATTGGTCATTCAAGAAGCAAGGGCTGCACTCACCACAAAGGATCCATCAGATATGGCTCGTCCCACACCTGATACAGCGAGACAGGGAGGGAAGGGGGGGGAAGGGAGAAAGGGGAAAGGGGGGAGGGAGAAAAGGGAAGGAGATCTATTGGTCATTCAAGAAGCAAGGGCTGCACTCACCACAAAGGATCCATCAGATATGGCTCGTCCCACACCTGATACAGCGAGACAGGGAGGGAAGGGGGGGGAAGGGAGAAAGGGGAAAGGGGGGAGGGAGAAAAGGGAAGGAGATCTATTGGTCATTCAAGAAGCAAGGGCTGCACTCACCACAAAGGATCCATCAGATATGGCTCGTCCCACACCTGATACAGCGAGACAGGGAGGGAAGGGGGGGGGAGGGGAGAGGGAGGAAAGGTGGCAGGGGGAAAGGGGGAGGAGGGGGGGAAGGGAAGGGGGAAAGGGGAAAGGGGGAGGGGAGAATGGGGGAAAGAAGGAAAGGGTGAAGGGCGAAGCGAATCCATTGGTTATCGCAGAAGGCACAAGGCACAAGGCACTAGTTCTCGTCATAGACATGTGAGACCAGCAGCACTAAGGCACGGTAAAGAAAAGAGAACAAGGGCGCGAATGCGTGAATGTGCTCGCTCACCAATGGTCTTGCCGCGTTTGCCTGAGAGGCTGCGCTGCGACTCGTCCATTACCACCACGATCTGATGGGTGTAGGGGGGGGGGGAGGGGGGAGGGGGGGGGGAAGAGAGAGGGGGGGGAAGAGAGAGGGGGGGGAAGAGAGAGGGGGGGGAATGGGGGTCAAAAGGGGGAGAGCGGGGGGACGTCCAAGGCGCCTCAAACTGTTGGCCTGAGAGGCTGCGCTGCGACTCGTCCATTACCACCACTATCTGATGGGGGAAGGAGGGGGGGGGAGAGGGAGAGGGGGGAGAGGGGTGGTGGGAGATGTGGGGGGAATGGGAGGAAGGGGGAGAAAGGGAGGAGGGGAGAGGGGCCGAGAATGAGAGGAGAGTGGAGGAATGGGAGGAGGGGGGGAGAACGACAGAGCAGCACCATGCATAGCGTAGTTGAGTGAAGAGAGGGCATCAGAACAGCACGGAAGCACGCATGCATGCATGCATGAACCGTAATCCATCATTAGAGAACGACGCATCCTTAATCCATCATGCATGAAGTAGCTTAATAGCAAACACGTGGCGGATATAACAAGCAGCAGCAGCAGCAGCAGCACGCACCGAGTAGCTGTGGCGCATGGCCTTCATCACCTTCCTAGCCGGCCTGTCCACCTTGAGCGTGCGGTACCACACATGCGCTATCTGATGGGGGAGGAGCCGGGGGGAAAGGGGAGAGGGGACGGGGAGAGGGGAGGGGGAGGGGGAGGGGAGGTGGAGGGGGAGGTTGAGAGGGGAGAGCAGGGGGGCATGAGCATGGCATGGCGAGAGAGGGGGGAGAGTGAAGGATAGGTGCCTGCCTGTGGCGCATGGCCTTCATCACCTTCCTTGGCTCCCTGTCCACCTTGAGCGTGCGGTGCCACACATGCGCTATCTGATGGGGAGAGGGCACCACAAGGGGGGAGGGGAAGAAAGAGGGAAGGGGGAAGGGGAGCGGGGAGGAAAGAGGCGGACGAGGGAAGGGAGGCGATTATTGAAGCGATTCCAAAGCCCTTGGGAGAGGTGGGGGGAGGGGGTGGGGGAACGTGGGGAGAGGGGAAGAGGAGGAGGGTGGGGGAGAGGTTCGGGGGGGAAGGGAGGGGGAGGAGGAGGAACGGGGCGAATGTTGAGGCGCCTCGAAAGCCCGCTCCCTTCCTCTTCGAGGGTTTAGGGTGCGACACGCCACGTTTCGAGGGAGGCGCAGCAAAAGGGGGCGGCACGAGCATGCTGCATGGAATGTCATGGCATGGCATGAATAGCATGAAAGGCTTGGTGTTATGCAAGTGGTGGGGGCGTGTGGCAATGGGAGACAACGGAGGGGCGGAGCCGGAATTTTCAATTCGAACTTGCGGAGCGTCCGCCTTTAGAACATCCATCCATCATCAGTCCTCTCCTCTCCTCTCCTCTCCTCTCTCTTGTGTGTGCATTCGACTTGTTCGCTACCCTCTTGCCTTCATCCTCATCTCCATCCTTGCAATGCTCCCTTCACAAGCTCGCTTCAGAAGAACAGCTTCCCCCGACTCCCCCACAACCCCCTGGGCCATAACAATCCCCCTTTCCCTATCCCTCAGCCGCACCTCCTTCCCCCACGCCCCCCCTCTCCCCCTTCCTCTCCCACCTCCGCCCCCCCCCACCACCCCATCGTTTTCCCTTTCATCTGAAGCTCTCAAGTTTAGAGTTTATAAGTTAAACACTTAAAGATTCGTGACCAAGCCCTTCCAATGAGCCTCCTCCATCGCTCCCCCACCACCTATCTCCGCTCACCTCGTCAGGATCCACGTCATCAATGCTCGAGCTGTACGTCAGCGGACGTGGCAAGAAGCAGCGGCTCGGCTGCCCCGCAGGCGGCTGCCACCGCGCCTGCCCCGGTACAGGCCGCTCCGTTAACCGCGCCCGCAGAAACGGCGGTTCGTCCACTCCCACTGGGCTTCTCACGGTGATTGTGTTCCGTGAATCCGTAGGCGGAGCTTTCGGCGCTACTTGCGGCGCCTTTTGCGCCTCCAGATCGAGCGCTGCTACGGCGGTAGCGATGGCACCAGCGGCGGTTTCGACGGCGGCGGACGCAGCGGCGGAGGCGGCGGCGGCGATGGTTGCAGTGGGCGCAGCGGCCCCAGATGTGGCGGAAGGGGGTTGCGGGCCGCGAGAAGCGCCGGGGGAAACGGGGCCGGTAGCGGCGGCGGCGATTGCGGGGACGGTCGGGAAGCGCGCGCAAGTGCGGATGACACGCGCAGGGAGAATTGCGCCAGTACCGTGCGGGGAAATCGGCGCGCAGTGGAAAAATGCTGGGAGCTGCGTGGGAGAGAAGGACGCGCACACGCGAGTATTTGCGAGGAAGGGAAGATGTGAGAGAGAGTGAGAGAGAGAGAGTGAGAGAGAGAGTGAGAGAGTGAGAGAGAGAGAGTGAGAGAGAGAGAGAGTGTGAGAGAGAGAGTGAGAGAGAGAGAGAGAGTGAGAGAGTGAGAGAGAGAGAGAGAGAGAGAGAGAGAGAGAGTGAGAGAGTGAGAGAGTGAGAGAGTGAGAGAGTGAGAGAGTGAGAGAGAGAGAGAGAGAGAGAGAGAGAGAGAGAGAGAGAGAGAGAGAGAGAGAGAGAGAGAGAGAGAGAGAGAGAGAGAGAGATGAGGGGAGTCGCGAGGACGTGACGTTACATACACTTTGGCAGAGCCTGAAGCTA